TCGGGTGAGGGATATCGGTTTCGCCCCATCGCTATGTACGATTCGCTCAACCCCGCGGAAAACGTGGGATTGCAGAAGTTTGGTGTGTACGTCCAAGAGATGACTATCTTAACTCCCACCGGGCAGCTCTTCTTATCTTATCGTACCGCCGATGGATAGAAGCTTTCGCCGATAAAGCTCGGCGGAGAAATGACGGCGCGTTTCGCGTGGATGCACCCGCCACTCCTTAATTAAGTTCGGACAGCCGTTTATTCGGTTTATTGTCTTGTTTGCCGTACCCCACGAGATGCTCCCGCACGATTACGCGCATCCGTGTCAGTAGGTGCAACGTCATCGCGACAGAAAACGCATCATCAACGCTCGCGTACTTGAAAAACATGCTTCTCGAATCGAAATTATTTTCGCGATTCTCATCGAGATTCGAGGAATTGAAGAAAGCTGATTTTAGAGAGAAAAACAGATTTTGAATTTAGCTGATAATTTATACCATACCTTAGAGTAAATTTGCAGCAAAATACGCAGAATTTTTAGATCTTATTCGTTAATTATTATAATTTCTTTGATAAAATTACAAAAAAAATAAAATAAAATAAATAATAGAGAGAGAGAGAGAGATTTATAAATTCTATTTTATATAATTTTTAATTAATCACAATTATTATAATTAATATTAAATATAACAGATATTTTACAGATAAACACTGACAGTTTAAAATGTAGAAATTAAAGTTTGGATGACAAAATCTCTTATTGTTAGATTGATACACGGTATCACGGCGATTTTGCGTTCGTGCCAACCGTGACGGATTCCTTCCACGAATTTGAGCCGGCGCTATAGCGTAGACAAATTATGCGCATTACGTAAAGTGTCCCCGAAAGAACAGCACCAAAGGGAGCCACGGCGATGGCCACGGGGGATGAAACGTCGGCACGGGGGACGCGCCGCGGATGAGAGATGGGCCTATTGTGCCATCGTAAATACAGAGAAGCGGCCCGTCCCGAAATAAGGGCATATTTCAGCTTCTGTCCGGCAATCACTGCTGCTCCGCGGATTCACGGTCGTGCTGTTACGAATATAGGCGCGGTAGCGAGGATGACAGTATAGGAGACGGAGGGGACGCCGGAAAGAAGGGACGACGAGAAGGACGGTTTCGAGTGAAAAGGAGCGAGCGGGTGGACAAGCACGGGAGACTCCGAGTAGGAAGAGACCCCATTTCGTATTCCTCGGGCATTCCTCCTGATCTCCCCGCATTTTTATTGTACTTGCCGCCGGTAAGAATATGTTTTATTTATATTTCATATTTTTCCCTTTCTTTCTTTCTCTTTCTCTGTCCTTCTCTTTTTCTCTCCGTGTCGCGTTTCGTGGCCAGAAACGGACACGGCACACTGTCGTGAATTCGCACGGGGTGACCACAAAATATGAAGTTGAGATACGGGATCCTCCGCGTATCTACGCAGAAGAAACTCGGGCTATATACTCTGCTCGCCATAGTTTCTCCTAACGCCCCTATTTTCGAAGGGAATGGGGTCGCCTTCGGCCGGGTGAAAATATTTTGGCAACGTTTCTGCTTGGAAAGTATTTATGTTTGTCCGCGACAACGACGGTGAATCTATTTTTTCGCGTGGCTTTATTGGAATGTTGCATTAATGGAATTGCGTGCATTGTGTAAATGTGCTTGTTTTTTGGATATCTATATCTTACGCTTCATAAATTTTGCGAGCATAAATAAATCATAGGAAAATTAAAGAGAGTGTGCAATAAATAAAATATATAATATTGGTAATTTACACTATTGTTTTTAAAACCACCACCACTACAAAAAAGCAGTGATACAGATGCGAGAAAGAGAGCTGGATTCAAAAGAGGATCAATTGATCTTGCTTTTAGCGTTCGAATTTAATTCAGCGTCGTCTGATTGAGACGAAGGGTGTTACACGCAATTTGCCGCGTTTCGCCATAATAACTCGTCCTACCCTTCGGCGTGTTTTATGAGTATCATACTGAGTATGCATAATTCACGGTCCAGCGCATAAACTTTCAAGCAGCGCGTATCTTTCTCGATTAAAGATTCATGAAATGTAACAAAACAACGCGAAACGCGATATATAAGATTAATAACTTTTACTGTATAACGATATACCGAGTTTTTTTATTTTTTTATTCACAGATCAGCATAATCGTGAGAAAAGTATCTCGAAGTATCTCGCATAGTCATTAACGGTGCAAGAAACTCGTCGCGCGAATGCTGCGTCTCTCTATTCTCGGGGAATATCCCTTATCGTACGGCGCTGCGCGATCGTTAAGATATCCATCATAACCGTGTGAAAGTGCAAGAAGTCGGTGGAATTGTTTGGTACGTGCACGTGAGTTGAAAGTGAGCCACGAATGAGCAATTTCATGTTCAGCCGGCGTACGTGACGGGGCCCCTGATATCCCGTTTACGCTCCTGATACGCACGCGTTCCGCGCACAAACTGCGTACGCGTGAGCGCGCGTGCGTGGGAATTTCGGATTATAATTTGATAAGAATTCACGTCTCTCACACAAGGTGGAGAGCGGGGATGCTGCTGCTGCTGCTGCTGCCCTGCAAGGGCAGAGCCAGCCGTCTTCTTTATTCCGCGCGCACGCACGCCTGCCGTGAGTTTTGATTTCGGCGTCGCTTTTGATACGCACCGCTCTCGAAACTCGAGAAACATGTAAATCAGAAGTTTGATACTTCTCAAATGGTTCTCGCTGACATGAGAGAGAGAGAGAGAGAGAATTCTTTCGAGCGCTTGGTAATAAATTCCCTTTACATGCTTAGGTATAAATCTTTCAAGTGTGTGTGTGTGTGTGTGTGTGTGTGTGTGTGTGTGTGAATAATTACACAATTCAACTAAAAAAATACACACAAGAAAGAGAATAACCTCCTTTGTAGTTTTTTATGCTAAATACTTTAACACGTCACATACCATAGCTATAAAATGAAAAAATACCCCCCTTAAGGAGGGTTAAAATAGACCTATGTGCAACTTTATTCGCTAATTTCTTAAAATTTTAATAGAAAAAGTTGAAAGCTGGAATCGTATTCAGCGTTAAAAAGACTACAAGGAAACAATTACTACTTTTCTTGTGTTTGAAGAAAGTTATTTTCTGTTGTTCTTGTATTATAAAAAGAATGTTTTTTTCAGTTTTTTTCTTTATATTTTCATATATATCTAGCATGCCTAGATTCGTATGTAACAGGATTGTAAAAATATATGATAATAATAATAAAATTTGATTTTGTATCGTAATTTATATTAGAAATGAACGGTTAGAGAATACACTGAAAAAAGTGGTATTGCAACTACAGCAAAAATTTTCTGGGTGCGCAAAATTAACTGAGGTACATAAATGATTAGCAAATACTGTGATATCGCATATGTTTCGCATTTAATCAATCTAAGTGACAGAGACAGAATTTATATCTGAACTGTTTGTGAAATTTAGAAAGAATGTTTTTCTGTGGCGCCTATCCATGTTAAGGCCAATCATACTTGTTATAAAGTTTGGCTGTGGTACACAGAAAAAATTAGCGGCAAGAAACAAATGAATATATAATCCTCACATCTAACATATTTGTATAACGCGCCCAATCTATCTAGCTCTTTTAAACAATTTCTCTCAATTTTTCGATACTGCAGTTATAATTGGCAGTTATATTTCTCACAAAGATCGTTCTAGCTGTAGTATCGAAACTCATATTTATCCAATGCAGTGATTAACATTTGGCAATGGGACCTAAATTTTCTAGAAGATATTATTAGAATATTGCTGCTATAAATTCTATATGTAACAGACAATATTCTAACAGATACAAAAAATAGCGATAAATTTTTGTTGTGACACCTAGAAATCTACCTATATCAGCAAGACATTTTTTTGAGTGATAATTTCTCGTATCAATCAAAAAATGGATCGCGTAAAGTGAGATTATTTTCTTTTTGCGAGTGTATAATGTAAACGTATATTATTGCGATGCGTATAGCAAAGTAGTATTAGTTAATTCGTATTCATTGTATGCGTACAATATTTCTCGCATACTGTGACTTTTTTACAATTATTAGCGAGAGCACTCACCTTACTGCGCTTGCTGCTGCTCTGCTACTGCAAGCTACTTCCATCTTTTTCGCAGCTTCTACGACTGCACACAACCACTGCTCCCAACGGCCGGAGAAACACAACACTCGAGAAACACACGACACTTGAAAAAAGCAAACGAGATAAATCTTAAAAAGCGCAAAAACCAGCATTTCGATCCGCGATTCGTCTCATTATTAGCGCGTATTTTCATCGTAGATCGACGTCATCGTGTGATTACATCATTCGCGTATGTGTTTCTATAATACGGGAAACTTTCGTATAACATCGCTCACCGGTTTTAAAAGAAAATTGGTAAATCTGCATTTTAGCTTCTTTACAGCTCTCGTGCGACTACACGTCCATCGCTTTCAAAAAAGCCGGAGAAATACAATACCCGAGAGACACCCGACACTTGAAATACATACATAAACAAAGGATTAAGGTTCGGAGAGCGCGAAGGTAAATACATATTTCGATCCGTGACGTCGTCTCACTTCACTGCGCGTCTTTATCGATTACCGTACATTATGATTGGTCACTTGCGTTCGTATTTCTAAGATTCCCCAGCATCGTCCGCTGATTTCAAGAGAGTCGAGTATCGACGACACAAGAAATTTTAAAAATAACTAAGATATAATGTATGTACGTAATATGTTATACATGTGATTAAATTACTCTCTAGGATATTAAATTATCTAAACATTCTCTTATATAAATAAATATTTATATATAGAAGTATTATGTAAAATACACACGAGACTAGATGCCCGCGTTAAATTTTTTACTAAACGTGTGTACGAATGACGTGACATGTCGTTCGCGCCGGACTATTTTGATAGTTTGTAGTGCGCAGCGTAGCTTTCAGAAGAACTAACATTTACACGGTAAGATCGCATATATGGTATTCTCTCTGCATAGCGAATAATAGAAAAGATATTATTGAGTGTGTCGCGAGAGGACGAACGACGGGAAAGTATATACATATATCGTATGCGTATAGTGAGGTCGCATGCGTTGCGTTCCACAGGTGTCTAATGATTGTGATTAGCGTCATTTTTGCTGTAATAGGATCGTTTATATACGCATTGATTAAAATTATAAACGCTATTGACAAGAAGCTTGAGATTTTAAGGTAAGTGTCGTAACGGGCGTCGCGAGCATTTTATAGGTTAACTTTTCAATCTAAAAGACTGTACGTCGGCATCTCTCTTTTGACTCATGTGAACGTTTATTTTAAAGACTTTTTACGTTGCTAAACGTCATGTTTAATAAGATTTTTGACTCTTATTTGTTTATTTAATTATTTTTCAGTATGGAGAAGCAATCAAAGTTGTCTTTGAAAAGAAACCGCTATCATCAGGCTCATGTCACAAATGATGTTCCAGTGGAGATATCAGATGATGAGAGCTCTGACTCATCATCGAATCCACAGTCAAATATAGAACAAGTAAACTTTACAAACACAAGTCATGGAGTGGCTGATATTTCAAATGATGCGACAAATAGTTTAAATCCTGCATGCAGTTTGAAACATATACATGATATATCAGACGATTTAAGTAGCGATGAAGATGTTGTTGTAATTGACATGCCTAATACCTCTAAGAATACCCAATCAATGTTTAATTGGAAGAAAACGAGCTTTGCTTATGCGCCAAGCTGTCAAAACGACAACTCTTCTGTTAATATATTGCATGATTCAAGACTTGAAAAGGAAATGCCTGGAGAAGTATCAAGCAAAAGACAAAAACTGAGGTCTGATTTGACAAGTTTAAGTGATGATGATTTAGCGAGCTTGAACAAGGAAGAATCTTCGCCATCTAAAGTTACGATACAACATAATATAATGATTGCAGGAACTAAAGTCACATTGCCTGTCGAGCCATACCCATGCCAGAAAGCAGTGATGAATAGTGTGAGTATTATAATTCTGTGATTATTGTTGTAACGTTGTTATTATAATTTTATTAATTATATTGAAAATTATATGTACAGCTTATCAAAGGATGTACTAAGGAGCAGCACTGTCTCTTGGAAAGCCCTACTGGTAGCGGTAAGACTCTGGCTCTTCTCTGCGGAGCTTTGGCATGGCAAGAGCAATACAGGGGTGAGTTTATGACCAATGTATTATCACATATTAGATATATAACAAGAGTTTAAAGCAAGAGCATGAAAATTTCTGAATTATCACTTGTCATCGAAATTTTTATGTAATTTGTTCTGTCCATTAACGAGATTATTATGTTTCATAATTAAACGACAGGATAATCCGCGGATTTTTTCGCAACTTATTCGCGCGTCAAATTATAAATATAAAAGCTCCAAGTGCATGCGAATTGGTGGATCGAATGGTGCCTGCTCTCGCGCGATTCATCATATGATATTCATTAATTTTCCACCAATCGTGCTCGTGCAGCGCTTTCTGCGCCACGATTATGTCTGCCTCTAAGATTTATCACGGAGCTTCGCAAAAATCTCGTTTTGTCGTTGTGCCGCGTCTCGTGACAGCTGGTCGTTAACGTAAACCGTTTTAGCGACTTCTGTCTCGCTATACACCTGCATATATACGCGCGCCCACAGCGATAGCTCTCGTCAGATTTTTGACTGTCGTGTGAATTTTGGAAATTAGAAAGGGGCCGAGCCACCATCTATCTATTTCGCTTGTCTTCCCTTTGCCTCGCGGCCGGATATCGCCCTTATTAAAGTTTCCCGAAGTTCGCGAACGTTTTGCTTTACCTCGTCAGAACTTTAAAAGTCTTCCGGATAATTTCTCAAGGCGTGTCACCGCGATGTCAGGCGTTTGTCGCGCTCGTCAGCCGATTAGTTCCGCAATCTTTATTTTATACGTCGATGTTACTCCCTATTTATATACTATATTATATTTTTTATAAGAGTACATATATATATAAAAAACTTATTTGAAGAATTCTATAAGTTTTCTACAAGAGGAGTTTGCATGCTAGCATGACAATATCGAAAGCGCATTCTTATTTGAAACGGCAAATTTATCTATCGGCATTTTGCATTTAATCCATTAATGCGAGCGAAATTAAATATCATATATCGCGCAGACATTAATTTATATGATTTTTTCTCAATGAGATAGTATAAAAATTAATCCAGCGCTCATGTTGCATTAATGCACGGATCGTAAATATTGCGCGATTTTCACGCATAAGCGCCGCTTTGCACCGAATGATGGTTTCAAGCATATTTAGCTGTACACGGAAAGAAGGCGCGGATTTTCTCGTTTCTTCGCCGAGAGAGAAAGCTATTCGGATCGTTAGCGGTTTCTTGGCTATTATGATATTAATTTAAATTATTCAACCATTCATGCGCACACAACACCGTCGTAATAATCGTTACGATCTGGAGTCGCGCTGGTAATTCCGACTTTGCACGCGTGCATGCAGCTAATTGTTCGCAATTCTCGTGCAATTTCTAAACAATTAGATTTACCTTCGCAATGCGCGATGTCTCGTCCCGTCCTCGCTCGTACCAGTCTACGAAAAACAACGGGACAAACATAATTGTCTTTCCTTATGATAATGCGACTACAATATAATTTCGTACAACGTCATGTTCGATTGCCGCGTTACCTTATTTCCAGCGACAAAATATTGGTGTCTATTGATGTTTATGGCAAATATTGCCAAAAATGCAGCTCACAAATCACTGTAAAACATAGCAGTCTATAATGCATTATATATAACGAACGTATTTGAAACAATTTTATATCTTACATTTTGGTGAAAAATTTTCTGGTTTAGCTAATCAAAATTTTGCCTGAATTTTTATATTGTACGTGTTTAATTTAGATTGACATCCTCTATAACAACAAACGTGAAAGTTCATCGAAATTAATCGTTACTTTGCCGGAGTATAATTTCATTGACCTTAAAGCCGCCTTGTCTAAAAGTCGTATTATCGCTCGTAATGCAAGATCTATTAACCATCAACACGATCGATAATCATTGCTTACTTTGCCGGAAAGTTTCGATGGAGACGCGTTTCCGCGACTATAGCCTTTTTTTGCGCTCCAATTCTCGTGCAATTTCTAAACAATTAGATTTACCTTCGCAATGCGCGATGCCTCGTCCCGTCCTCGCTCGTACCAGTCTACGAAAAACACAACGGGACAAACATAATTGTCTTTCCTTATGATAATGCGACTACAATATAATTTCGTACAACGTCATGTTCGATTGCCGCGTTACCTTATTTCCAGCGACAAAATATTGGTGTCTATTGATGTTTATGGCAAATATTGCCAAAAATGCAGCTCACAAATCACTGTAAAACATAGCAGTCTATAATGCATTATATATAACGAACGTATTTGAAACAATTTTATATCTTACATTTTGGTGAAAAATTTTCTGGTTTAGCTAATCAAAATTTTGCCTGAATTTTTATATTGTACGTGTTTAATTTAGATTGACATCCTCTATAACAACAAACGTGAAAGTTCATCGAAATTAATCGTTACTTTGCCGGAGTATAATTTCATTGACCTTAAAGCCGCCTTGTCTAAAAGTCGTATTATCGCTCGTAATGAAAGATCTATTAACCATCAACACGATCGATAATCATTGCTTACTTTGCCGGAAAGTTTCGATGGAGACGCGTTTCCGCGACTATAGCCTTTTTTTGCGCTCTCGCCGAACGAGCAGCTGAATTAGCCAGAATCGCTCAGTGGGATGGTTTATCGTACGATCCCATCTTAATATTCCGCAAGGAAATCGTGGCGAATGTCGCGATTGATCGAAGAGCAATTACGTCGGAACATGAAAACGACATTATTTACTATTCACTGGGAGAATTACTTTCTTGATACGAATAATTTGAAATATTATTGTGGAGATGTGGAGATATTTTTTCGATATTATGTAATTCGATTCCAACAAAATATCGTTTGGTTTTATATAACTGGATTTTACAATATGTTGGTGAAATTTATTGATACTTCGATATCCGAGAGCTACATTTGTTACAAAACATTGGTTGGAGCGCATATCGCGACAATGAAACTGGAACGTCGCAAAGTATTCGATGAGGCGAACGATCGCGTGCCATTTCGCGCTGCACGAGCGGCGAATTAAATGTTCCGCGATGTTAACGTCAAATTTGCGTGAGTAACTTCGGATTCGCTGCCTGCGCGAAAAACGACGTAGGACGGACGGACGGACAGAACGTCTTCGAGACGTATACTGGAAAAGACAGCACGAACCGTCGTCGCCTCCCGAAATTACGGACAGGTCCTCCCCGGGCTTTATTCTCGTCATCGTGACATCGCATTACAAACCGACAAATTCAATTACAAACCGAAAATTATCGAACATGCGAAAATTCTTTTTCTACATGACAATACTTTTGCAATGGATCGCTAAATTCTGATATTCAATAATAATCCCTTTGCTGATCGCGTTAGTATCATTTTTTATTTATCGAACAATGTCGCATGTATGTATATTATGCTATTTGATTAAATAATGATATAGAATTTAAATCGATATTCGATTTGCCGTGACAATAGCAAGTTAATAAATATGAGTTATAAACAGGATAAAAAAGTACGAGATATGATCGCTTCTAATTTTAATTTGGTATATAAGTAGAATCTAGAATTTGCATGATATTGCATGATTAGAATTTATATATTTCTAAAAGAACGTTTGAGTAAAAATTGCACTTCACATGTATGTCGGTCGCACTACGTTTTGACGAAGAATATCACGCGTAGCTAATTATCTATCTGTGATTTACGACTCGCTCTTAGTTTGTCGATGCGCATTCTTAATTAAGCAAATCAGAATAGAGCGATTCGATGGAAATTAGTCATGATACCGATTTTCGCGTGTGTACGGCAAGGATGCGTGCGTAGGTGTGCCGCTTTGCACGACATCCTGCTTTTCCCAGTTATAATTTGCTTTATGCTTTAAACCTGGCGCTGTCACGCTCTGCCGGAGGTCGAGTGGTACTGCTAGCCGCCAAACTGTAAACTTACCTCGTTGGAGAGCCGCATAAATTAGGTCCTCGAAAGGGAATAGAGAATTTTCTGGCGGTTTAATCGATACCGTCGTTGCTGTCGATGTTGGAGGTTTGCTTCGACATTTACATTAGTTTTCTTTTAAAACCATAATTAATCCATTTAGAGATATATATAGACAAAGTCGAATAGATGTGATATATGGGAAATATTTTATTTCTAAGCTTTGGAAAGAGTTATATCTATCGACTTCGTATTCACTGTAAGGCGTTGATAGAAAGGAAACGCGAAACTTGAGGAATCATCCTCAAATCCGTATAATCACTTGGTTTAAGCGCATGGGATTCACGGACCGCGTGCCAGCCATAGCGCTCGATTAGCTTGACGCAACATTTACCGGAGAATTCGAAAAACTTAAATCGTTCGTAGAACGGAGGAGCGTGATGCGCCGCTTTCGATGGAAGATGGGAAGGGAGGAGGGACATCGAGAGGGTCGGACGAATAAATTTCGAAAGTTTATCGCGGAATCGCATGCCGGCTAATGTCACTTTATTACTAGTAGAAGACGACGGCAACGCGCGGAGACAGGTCGCGAGGAGGGATCTCAGGGGGAGAGAGAAAGAGAGGGACCGCGGGAAGGATAAGTTCGAAATAACTGGCAGCGACGAGACCCATTGTGCGGCAGGAAACTTGGGAAGTCATAATAATTATCGGCGAACGCGGAATTATATATTGTGTCCCTGTGGCAGCCTGTCGTCGTCGTCCTCGTCGTCGTCGTCGCCGTGAATCGTCTTTGCGCCTCAGCATGCAACTCCGACTGAATATGCAGCTACGTGCTCTGTGACGTTCTGACATTAATAATGCGCGGGGGATCCGCCTTTTATGCTGGAGGTACCAACCGTGGTACCATCGTCGTGGACTCTTCCCAGAAGGAGCTCACCGATCGTGCCATTTCGCTCTTGCACAATCCGCGAGGGGGAGAGTGTCCCTGGGTATTTTTTAAGGAGAGCAGGAGAGCTATCGCGGTATCGTGTCTGTATCGGTTTAATATAAATTTTGCTCATGTACACGCTCGCATAAAGGCTTAATATAGATATTGCTATAATTAATGATAAATT